TTACAATCTAAGGTCCCTATTTCACATGTATACCTACAATGGCCAATTAGACAGGAGGCAATTAACCTTCCAGCATGTCTTTGGAGTAAGAATAACATGGAAGTAATAGGAATACAGTGAGTAATAAAAAAAAAACCTGAGAGATGTTTCCCCTCTTTCACATTCTATAAAAAATGTTTTAAAAAAAATGAAAGTGTTGTCTGCTGCTGGGCTTTAAAGTGACATTAAAGTCAAATTTGTTTTGCCCTCCCCCCAATGTTAATTAAAGCACTTACCTTAAATGATGTATCTTAATCCAATCTTCCTCTTCTTTCCTGTCCTTTTCAGCCTTCTCTCCAGCACTGCTGCGGGTCTCTGATCCAGCGCTGACTCCTATGTCCTTGCTGGCACTTCCTGTCCCACGGTATCTGCATGCGGGTGCACACGTCCATAGACTTACCTTGTGTCTCTCCTCGTCTCCTGGCCGAAAATCCGAACTGCGCATGCGTCGGCCCCAAGATGCTTTGAGGCTGCCCGAGCATTTTCGGATTTTCAGACGGGAGCGCGCGGCGAAGACAGCGGTAAGTTTAAACCGCTTTTAAAGCGTTTTAAAAAAAACTTTTTGCATATATCTACTGCTTGCTAGCTGTAGATATAAAAAAAACGGAGGGTTTAGAACCCCTTTAATGTTTTGGAGTTCAGACTACTGGTGATCATCACTCTTGTTCAATGTGTTGCTTATTGCAGACTTATAAAACAGATGTTGTTGAATGCAAAAGATGCGGATCCAATGCAGATATTTAGGGAGCCTAAATAAAAAAACAGTGCTGAATATATGTAGTGTGTAAGACCATAAAATATTTTTTAACTACGGTAGTCTGTGTCTTATGAACTTCAAAACTCTTCTCCTAGGCTCACTGAAATCTTTTGATTAGGCCATAATGTACTTCAACAATATGCTGTTGTGAAAAGCAGGTAACCGAAAGTGTGTGTTTTTTTCAGTAAAAATTGCACTGAAAGAATTGTGGAGGCTGCCATTATTGACCTCCTTCTGAACATGCTAGAATCCTCTGGTTAAAATAATTTCAGACTTGAAACAAGCAATCAGAAAGTCATGCAAGAGAGAAGTTAGAACACATGACTAATATACTTATTTTAGTTAATTGACTTAATGAGGGGTAGTCATCAAAACTGGAGCAAACAGAATCTGGAGCAGTTGCACATGGCAACTAATCAGCTTCTATCTTTAATGTTCAAAGCTTAACTGAACAAACTGAAGAGAGAAGCTGATTGGACGCTATGGGCATGTGTAGCCAACATGTTTTGGGGGTTCACCAGTCTGCACTCCTCAGTACTAAAAAGTGCAACAGATACAGAAACATTTGTTAGCAGTAATTTCTAAGTTCATATGATAATAGACACATTATAAGTTCATACTTCAAGAATAAGTTGTAAGCATAATATGTATACGGTCTATAGAAACATTTTATAAAAAGAAAAATGGAAAAATAATAATAATAATTAGGAATGCACCGATACTTTTCGAGTACCAATGCCGATACTTGGCGTTTTCATGAGCACTAACAGGTTTGCAGGGGTTGGCTCTGGCGCTCCACCTATCCTGACTCCGATTGTTGTGATAGCGATATATCCCTTGCTGAGACCCCTATGCCTGGCCTGTGTAAGCAGATACAATCACTGCGGACAATCCTTATCAGATAGCTGAACTCACCAAATACCGTTTCCATCCACAAAGGTGCTTTATTCTGAACACCAGGTTACAGCAGAGGACAGGATACAACAGATGAATGAATTGTGGTATTTATGCGGTCAAAAGATGATGCTTTCGTAGCGTACTGTGCAGAATACAAGTGTCCCTGTTACATGTGGCCTGTTAGCTGTGGCCATGACACAGGAAGTACTGACCAACAAGAAGGGTGGAGCATACATACAAAGGGAAAATGTGTCATCGATCTCAGCAAAAGGAACATGAAAAACAAGTGCATTACCACAAAGGGTCATTAGATGGCAACATATAACTAAATGTAGAATAGCCATAGAAAAAAATGGTTCCAGGAAATTACTATATACATTCTCATCTTCATCAATGTAAATAACATATTCTATGCCCCATTGGGGCGGCACACCACCACTGTCCTGAAATCATTAGTCTGTATTGTTTTAGAAAAACTGTCACATGACAATAAACAAAAATGTATCAGTACTTGTACTCGCAAAACTGGTATCGGTGCAGTCCTTTATTTATATTTATAAAAACAAAATCATACATTAAAACAGAGATGGC